TGCAGATTGTTCTTGGTTCTGTTGTGAGATCAGCCTCAATGAGCGGTGCTTTCCCTTCTTAGGTTGAATAATAAAAATTAATTGTTAGAATGAGGCTTTCAACTGTAGAGCTTCCAAGCAATAACAAGAAAAGTTGTTTCAAAAAAAGGGTGTTTGGAAGGTTGTAAATCAACAAAAACAACCCATTATAAACTGCGGGGGGCAGCGTTCAAGAAGATGAAATGATTTGAACTCCATTTTGTAGTTTCCCGATTTCTCTCTCACTTAATCAGGTTATGAGAACTCAACACGGCGCTGTGGATCTAACGCTGCAGGGCGGCCGGCGACACGTCGAACTAGATCTTATCCCTCCACACCTTGTACCAAATGCACGGTATCCAGTTCACTTTCTCGTGATTGTACTCTCGCACGAATGTCCCACTCATCGACTTGTCCACTTTCGTTCAACTGCTGCTATAGCCTACACTGATTTCTGATTTTTTCGAGTATAATTCGCCGTTGAAATTTTCCAGCTTTCACTTATACACAGGCTTGAAAATCATCTTATATTTCTAATAATTCAATTAAAAACCATGTATAGTGGATAGGTTTTGTTTCTAAAATAGTTGTTCTCGTTGAATACTAACGTGAAATAGCTGAAATAGGCGGTTTGGGAGAGGTAAGGGAGGAGGGTCGTTAGGGTAAGCTAGTAGTACTGTTTCGACTCCAGAACTGTAGAAAAATGTGTGGTGGGCAGACGTAGCCTGAAATTGAAGTTCCTCAAAACAGTAGCGCACAAAATAGCTCTGAGCTGTTAACATTATTTAGCGCAGGCTGAAAAAATAATGCTTTCAACCAACCATCAGTAACCATTAGTGTGTAACAATGATAAAGTGTATACCATCTGAATCAATTATATTCTGTCATTTCTCTGTAATAATTCGAAACCGATCTCAGCACCCAGTGCCCAGTGATCCAAGGAAATTTGTCAATATTTAGAGCACATGACCTCTTCTAAATCGATATCATGCGATCTTCTATACCGTGGTGGAAAGCTTAAATCTGTTCTTGGGATGAAACTTGGAAACCATTTAGCCACTTGAAAATCTTGTTATTCTTTCAAGATGCTTTCGTTTTTCTTTTACAACAAACTTCTGAGCTTTACGGTATGTAAAAATCCAGATTGACATGTGTAGAAACACTAATATCCTAACGCTTGAAATTTGTTGATAGGGACACAATTTAAGGTCTGTGCCGGGACAACGGTTCGTCCAGCCCATCCATACGGGGATCATACCTGTGATTTTTTTAGAGGGTGAAGTCGTAATGGGGGTTAACGAAACTCAAAATTTTTTGGCAAAAATTTTAGGAGCCAGAGCAGGCAGAATCAAAAGGTCTGAGAGGATGGAGCTTGAAGGGTATATTTGCACTAGAGGATCGTTTTTGGCGGCTTTTGGTAACTTTCTACAGTAACCTCAAAAAAGCATGAGGTGAACAAAATACGAACATTAGCTGTTTCTTGAGATGTGTAACCGTCACCCTAATCTTAGGTGACCCCCTTTGGCAGGGGGCGTATCTGGACCTTTCAAAGGGGGAGGAGGGTGGGGTGGGAATTATAAGAAATTTCCAAATCGGCTGAACACCACAACTGATCCTGCCTCCGTGTAGTTGATTTTGCGTCGAATGCGATTTGGGCATCATTTCCCAGTCAGCCGTATGGAGATGTATGAAGTTAGGCCTTCATGGTGGGATATTCCAATGAACGGAGTACAGCGGACCTATTAAACTTGCTAGCAGGTGATCCTGTTTCGAAATACATGCAAATAAGGAGGCTTTTTTGTGTGAAAGTTTCCAATTTTGAGCCACTGAAGAACTTTAGACCAATCCCGTGTATTAGCCCGATTAGTGGAAGGATATACCACTAGGGAAATTGTGAAGGTCCGTACCTACCTAGATCACTCCAGCTCCGTCGCAGAAATTGCACGGTTAGGGCACTATTCTTACGGGCCTGCAACCACCGAGCCCCAGTTGCAACGCTTCCCACCCACCGCTAACGTTGTAGAGATCACCGGCTCTCTCGAATCGCGTGATCTCTCGCGTGTTCTGTCTTCATTGATCGCCCTATCTCGCCATCGAGCGTTCCTAAAGATTTCACTTGCTTTCCTTCCCACGTTCAGGTTGTCTTGCAGCCTCAGTCATCACTAAGAGGCGCTCTTATCCCCAATTTTAGCCCGGGGTTTGCCCTTAACACCTAGTGAAATCATGGTATTTTGAAGTTGATTACAGGCTGAACATTGTATTAGTACATTCTTCAAATATTGTCGAAATCGGCGTTCTGTCCATAGTCAGGGCATTCGAAACAGGGCAAGTCAACAACCTCTTGGTAGTGACACTTAGGACTAGGCTTAAAAAAGAGTGGAGAATTGCGGGGGAAACAATTGTGCCCACGATTCTCTCCAGAATCCCTTCCCCTCCCCAAAAAAAAAAAAGGGGCTTAATTCCAGTTCCGCAAGTGGCTCGCTTACTCGTTCCCAAAGCGACAGAGCACCTCGTAATGTTTATTGATTGCAATTTGTTTTGTGACTCACGACTTTCTCTGAAGTTGTAGTCTAAGGAATCCAGTAGTATAAACGAAGCTTTCCCTCATGCTTAAATTAAGTGATACCACTCGGTTTGGAACCTTCTACTCACGACAGTGCGTGCTTGAATAAGGAATATACTCCAAAATTGTAAAAACGAATTCATTTGCCGATCCGAATTATGGTCGCCTCATCAAAGCAAAAGAAACTCAAAACCTTCAGCCCAAGCAAACTGAAGCCAACTGGTGGAGTTGGTCATTAGGCATTCTCTTGGACTGGCAGGAGCCGTAGTAATTACCCTAAAAACCATGGGAAAGTCCGCTCTCATTCGCTTGAGGACACTCGCTTTTTTTGATCCGTCCGCTTCTTTGCGTGGTTGAGCCCCTTTTATTCATTCGCCTAATTTCGCCGTTTCACATAGAATATCTAACGATAGCGAAAACAGCTGAGTCAATCAAGAGACAGAACAAATCATCATCCCGTTCTAAAATACGAGGTGAAGCTCCTCAGCTGAAGCGCTCGTCTTTAAACGGATAATCGTAGAATTTGGGTGGCCGCTTCTGGTCGGAGTGCTGAAAATCTCGTTGTTCCTTAGATGACATAGTGTGAACTTTGCATAGGGCAAAGAAACTAGGCCTAGCACCATTAGGCCGATGTCAGACTTTGCGAATCGCGCGATTCGCTAGCGTCTGCGGTCGCGTCGCGGCCAGTGAATCACTCAATTGGCTGGTACCGCAACGCGACCGCGGACGCTAGCGAATCGCGCGAATCGCTAGTAGCGAATCGCGCGATTCGCAAAGTCTGACATCGGCCGTAACCTTGTTATAATAATGTACAAAATCAACATAGAGTCGCTAAGGTTTTTTTCATCGTATATTTCTCTATAAGCACTCACGTTACGGAAATGTTGCGATATGGTTCAACGGTTCGCTAAAAATCCTATCACCAATAGTCAAAAGGGCGGAGTTGGGTAAGCATCGATAATGGGCTACAGTAGTTTTCAACGTTATTCGCCCTTTCGCAATTGTTTTTTCGTGCATTCGTCTCTCAGTTGGCCTTTGCTTTCATGTTTTTTGCGGTTATTGATTATTTATTTAATTATTTAATTATCAAGACATTTGACGATGAATTCTTGATCTGTCAGCAATTTTCAGGCGAAATTTCATGCACGATTCATCGAAAAATAAAAAATTATTCAGATCGAGAAATTATCGTGAAGGCTTTCAACCGCCTTTATAATTCAGCCAGTACCATGTAGCCACAACATATCACGGCAAAGATAGAATTATGAAGAGGGATTCCACGCCAAGCTCGAACGTCGAATAAGGGGAAACCCACCAAATGGAAAACAGGCGGACCCCAAGGGTGCGGGCCGATACGCAGTTCGCAAGCGAGGGATATGCTCCCCACGACTAGCAATAGCGTCCTCGCGGCGCGCTTTCGACCCGGCACGCCCGACCGGCTAAAGCTAATCGTTCGCCACCAGGTCCTTAGCCGTTTCAGCGTACAGAGCGCTAGCGTTAAAGAGACACACATGAGAGTCGCATCAATGTGGAAATCATCGCGTAACAAAAGGGTTTCATTTCTTGGGTTCTGAGCAGTTTGGTATGGTTTTTCTGAATGTCGGCACCATTGACCACCTCTACCTTTTGATTTCACTGTGAGGCAGTTCTATCGTAACTCCAACTAAAGAATGAAACGTGTCTGCAAATAGCAGGGAAACATGCATGTTCTGCTAGTCCTTTGCTTCCTCTTTAGCCACTGTATACAACATTCTAAGCTTCTGTGGCAGTTTAGTTCTATACGGCCACCATAAACATGGTTCAACTATGCGGGAACAGAGTGAATTAGCCTTTGTATTTTATTTATCTTCAAATTGGCGCTGAAACTGTGAAAAAAATAATGAATAATGCAAAAATCAATAAAAATATGAGATATGGCTCAGAACTGTTGCGCTCAATCTCTGTAACACAATAAAGGAATACACAATGATTAGAACCATGACTGAAGCAGATGACGCTGTCCGGCAGCACAAAGGCTGCCTACCAACTGCGCCCAGGAAATTGCTTAGGGCAGAATGCGTGTCTCTTGAGCTTACGGTTCACGCCACGAACAGATATCCGCCTCGGAACTGACGTCATGGGCTGTGTGAATTCTCGCTGGTATCCATGTTCTCTCGCCTCGAATTCTTTTCCTCTCTTTCGGTGCGCAGTATCTCTTGTGTCCCATTGTGGCCTAAAAAAGGTGATATTTTCGGTTTTTGATGATTGGCTTCTCTGGTTTCATGGCTTCTATTCCTTTTCTTTACTGTAGCTCAACTTCCCTCCCCCTTCTTTATTTTCCTGTAAAATAGCCTTTCTGGTTCGATCGTCGAGTGTTTCTTCAAAATGCACGGGAATGTTATGCCTTACAGAGAAACTCTTCAGCAAAAATAGTGTTAGATGTTTCTCCTGTGGAGTGCCCTTCTCGTATGGGCTTACACAGACGCTTCATTTTGTGGGACAAGTGGCGTCCCATTTAGCGTTGAGGTGCTCCCTTCAGGTGAGTGTCGTAATAAACAGCAGTACCTCTACCGGCTCCATAACGAGTCTTTTTCCTCAAACAGGATCTCCTGTGCTTGGGTGCGCCCAGCCATCGTGTGTAGCCCATTCTGCTGATGATTTTGATGACAGCGTTTTTCATACTGACTCATCAGGACAGATCGATGGATTTTTTCGAGAAGGTGACAAATCGCAAGGGCATCTTCAGATGAACAAACTCAGAGGCGACGGAGTTTTCAAAGCTACTTTGAACATTTGTTTTACTAGGATATTTAAAAGAACCTTCACGGGAAAAATCGTGGATTTTTTATGTTGCAGCCATAAATCACCTGGTGAGATTCACTATCACGATTTTTTAAGACAAAAAAACGAAAAAAAAATGCTTTGTTTTGGTAAAAAAAAATTCAAAATCGAAAAGGGCTGCTACGCGTTCGAAGTGCCCACGGACGTCTTTCACAAATGCTGGCGACGGGGATGCTTCCAACTTGGTTCTTGGAGTGCCTTCACTAGAAACTCTTTCTGGCCTTCTGCTTTATTGCATTCACATCTTACACTTCTACTCCATCCTATTCCATCGATCGATTTGTCTCCACTCTCCGAAATCGCGCGCTTTAACCCGATTCTTTCATTGCGTCGCCTGGTATACACGGTTCAACATCACGTTTGTACAAGTAAACGGGGGAATCGCCCCCCCCCCCCCCCCCCCCCCCCTACCTGCGTTCAGTTTGTGTAGAGAGGGGGGTCGTACCCACTTTTAGTCGCTCGAAATCACGGTTGGATTGAGGTGAAAGTGTAAGATTCTGGTAGTAGGCTACGCAATTTTGCGGACTATGTACCCCCCCCCCCCCCGCTCGACTCGACGGCATTTTTGGAGGAAAAAGTGGGCGGGTTTTGATGGAAGATGGAGATGGTGGAGGTAGGGAAAAGGGGGTCGTATCAAATCCACGTTGGGGGAGGGGGGTCGTAAAAATTTTTCGAAAAGTAACAACGATAGGACAGACCCTGCTCTCCTATCTACCGGCCAAAGGCCAACTTCTTTCCATGCCGTTTGGCTCCGCCCGAATTACCTTCGATGTCCATAAGTGTAGTTTTTGTACGTTTGTTTCTCTTCGGAAACCGAATCTTCATGCGTGAAACTTTGTGTGCTGTTTCCAGTGATCACAACTGACACATCCATGTCAAGAAAGAATGCAAGAATTTTCCGCGAAGGATTCCTTTAAAGTCTGTGAAAGTGAAAGTTAAACGCAATTTTCTTTCTTTGTTCAGAACTGCTCTGGCAATTTTGATCGATTGGCTTGCACAAGGAAGAACCAGTGGGTTGGTGGAATTGAGTTCATAAATCATCCGCGCCAACCGTAAGTAAAATGAGAGTAAGCAGTATTTGCCAACTATCGCTAGGCTTTTACTTCTGAAATAGTTGTTGGTTCAAATCTTTATGTGTTGTATGTGCGATTTTAAGGCTTCTCCTCCAGTGCTGCACCTTTGAAGGACTACGATTTTCTCAAATTGTCGGTGTCACGTCGATACGTGCTGGCGAGGCGGTTACCGGTGGCGAAGTAATTCGCGCTGGTCGTCAGATTTCTTTTGATGTCATCGCGAATATCCGCAAGGTCATCGATCGAGATGATCCGAGAATGTTCGTTTTTCCCGAATAGCGTCAGGAGACAGGCTTTGATATCTAACTAATAGCTCACGTATCAGCGCATTGTGATCTCTTGTTTCGAGCGCTAATTTTATGGGGGTAGTGATTTTGGCCGGACGCCAGCGTTGCTAAAAGCTGGTTCGTACAGTGTTGCAACTATTCAAAAGAGATTAAGAAATGTTAGGTTGGGAAGTCTTGATGGAAATTTCTTTCTTTTCTAGATTTTCTTAGAGATCCAATAGATCAGGTCTCATAATGGGGGACGATAAAGGGCTCCCAGACTTTCCCTCTGACAGTTACCCTCCCTTTCAAAAAACGAGAAAGCGTCGGGTGCAGACCATACACCACAAGTGACGACGGCCTCCACAAAATGTAAATGTTTTCTGCCAATGAAATGATTAGCCTGTTGCAGTTGTATTCTATCAGTTGTCACTAATTACAACTATCATTTACCAAAAATCAGCTATCACTATGAACCACTACTAACCAGATTTACTTGGAGGCCGTCGTCACTTGTGGTGTATGGTCTGCACCCGACACTCTTCTCGCTTTTTGAAAGGGAGGGTACATAAACTGCATAAGCTCCTTCAAAAGGCATATTTTGACACCCGATGTCGTCTTTACGAAAGGTGACTTTGCGCAATGCCTGGGGAGCGCGAACCACTACTTGTACTCACGCATTAACGACGACGTTTGGGTGCTGCCAGAAAGCTGTCGCCCACCAGCGCAGCAATGCAGGCTACCGAAAGGTAGTCCCAAGTTAGGGAACACACCAAATGCGGGACTCAAGTAAAGTGTTAAAAATCAGTGTATGCACACCTTTGCTTTTGCGCTCTCACAGAAAGGTGGACCCCAATATATCCTCATCGAGAAGAATATCCGGCTCCGTGCCCACCTCTTCGATTCCTCAGTCCTTCCTGCCATAACCTATGCCTCAGAGACTTGGACTCTGCGCAGGCAGGACGAGCAAAAATGGGATATTCATCTTCTTTGACTAGCAGCCACCACAATTCCGGGATTTCGGGGCTGAAAATCTGCTACAGCGCCGGGCACATGTTGCGGACCATAATGGTGAATTATGGCAAATTGCGTTCCTATTGTAACAAAAATATGAATGTTGTTGAAAGAAGGTGAAATTTTCATCAAGACTTTTTTCCTCAACCTGAGAGTAACTAGGAATGTGGTCTACATTATGGAGTCTTCTCCGGTCAGGGTCAACCGTCGCGCCATTTCAAAGTTTCCACGGCCCTCTCCTCTCATTGGGATTTCAGCGGGACCCCCCTCCCATCTACTAA